TAGATCTATCAGCCTGTGATATAAACTACCATTTCATTTCACTCTGATAACACCATTATCCCATTACTTCCCTCATGCCTGTGTTACACCCTTGGTATTCTGTTGATCAATGAAATACACAACATTACTTACAGGTAATTTATCATGCCTGATTTCATAGATATTGAAATTGACGACACCCTGTCCACAACACACCAAATATATAACCATTAAAAGGCACTAAAGACACTATACAGGAATAACGTTTTTATTTATCTGTCATTTTTTCTATGAGGAATACTTAGTCCATTTCAATAACATTAGTCGTAAATTTCAGTCACTTTTCGGTATTGACAACCTTTCAGTATCATGATATGAACACCATAGTGAAAATGACCTATGATTTATGCTATCACAGACACACTCATATCGTCAGTGAGCAATGCATTTCTTTACTGCAATAAGTACACTTCAGACAAAATCCATTACGTCTACACAATAATCCCATCATCCACCTACTTTCAATTGAATTACTGAGAGATTTTTCATTTTTCGGTAATCTTAAAATAAATTTTGTTATCCATAAATTGACAATCAATAGAATATATTACACTAGACGACTTATCTTTGTACCATCTGAAAGAAAACATTACTATTCGCTTATCAAAGCAATCATGTAGATCATGTGGTTGCTATATGGTTCAAATAATTCCAAAGTGACGTTAACTTTAACTCACTGATCTAGATATGCTTGGTTTGTTGTTTAACTTTTATATTCATGGTGAACCTCACTATTCCAATTCAAAGTTCCCAATGTGAACGGATGCTTTGGTAGTTCTTCACAATTTATAAGAAAAGATGACAACGTATTACATGTGAAAGCACGTAATAGCCGCATTTGGATGGCCCTATCCGATATATAAAGTTAGTTCTTAGATTCCCATATTCTCCTGTTTGTGTAGATGTAATTTGACTAATTTTGCATCGTTATTACCAGAGTACTCAGCCATATCTTCAAATGTAAATCAAAATTGCTGAAAAATAATACAACATTTTAGTTGACGCTATCGCTTGTTTTATGCATTTTATAAGGCGTTTGAAAACGCATTTACACTGGTATGCTGATTAGCATATATCTCAATTTAATTTCCATTCATTGTATAAAAGGTCTAGACTTTCTATGTCAGAATTTAACACTCTTTAGACAAAATATAAATGACTGATTTTTCCATTTTAAATAGTGTCCTGAATATATCAACAATTAGACAGTTTGACAGCGATCTTATTGTGACCAACACGCGCACCTGTTTGGCATCAATTTAACGTGAAATAGAAAAATAATATTTCACAACACCCGAATATTTTGTTTGGGATAAGAATTTTGTTTGTTTATGATTATGAAGCTATTTCTCTTCATACGTATGCAATGAAAGATGCATAAAGATAGCTTTTATACATGGAACTATATATTAGAATATGGATATAAGATTTGTCCGAATTCAATACATGAGATGGTATATATATTTTTCAACAATTTTCCTATAAGTAGTTAGAGTTTGACATCCTGTCTTCACAATATTATTTAATCGAATATGAATTGAATATATTATCGAAAAAACAATGATAGAGAATCATAAAACGCTTCCAACAAACGCCATCTTTAAGCCGATCTATATGCATCATTCTTTGTCTATAAAACATTACACAAAATTATGCAATGAACAAGACAATTCCTTTAAATATGTGTGCATGTACATTTCATACCATGTATAAATCATTGTCATGAATATTATCAGTTTTGCATATAAGGTTGAATTATATCACCGCTCATTAACCTGTTCATATGAAATTGCAATATTAGTCCAAATAAATTGAATATTGTACATCATAGGGAACCAAAGTAATTGCAGTTATGGCTACGCTTGATCTTCTAACACTTGTGTAAAGGTTTAAAATATGGTGTATTGCAATAAATATGTCAATTTCTTTTATGTAAATATGATTCAAACAATCAAAAACTTTCAAAGAATAAAACACCGTAAACCCTATATGCATGTATATGATATGATATTGAACAAGGCTAAATGTAGATACTGAAGTCAGTTTCCTGAAAAGTATCCGAACTATCCGCAAAAATATACATCATAATACTGACAGTGTAATCGGAAGGATATGGCAATTGTGTTTACTCTTGTTCAACCGACCTTCACCTCAAAGAAATTGCCTAATATGTACAACAATGTTGACGTGATGACATCACTACCGCTGACCCATTTCTTACAAAATGGCGGGCTTTGGCTGACAAGGGTACACAGGATTTTATGAGGACCCTTCCACTGATTCAGGGATCGCTTTGTACATAAATATGAGATGTAAGTAATCAGAATGATTCTGACTATCTGTGTATTGTTATATGTTTTATCGCTTTCACTATACGTGCGAAGAGAAAAAGGACAGAAATGCAGATAATTACCGCTTGTCGCTCTATGCGGATTTTAAGGCCAGTCATGGCGCCACGCTGCACGGAAACTTTGACAATTTCTTATGAATTATCAAATCATTGCATTGTATCTATTTATAATTTCCTATTTCTTGCTACTTATACCCTTTCCATGTATATTCTAAAGGTATTGAGCCATTGCAAGCAATGAATAGACGGATGAATGTTGAAAAATTTCAGAAAATGCTGCGAGTGTAAAATCGAATTTGTCTTTGTTTACATTTCACACAAACGCAGTCTTTCAAGCACAGCCGCTCGCTTTCACACCCAATATGTTTCGGCCTCATTTTATCTAGACAGTTATTATTGGTGACACAGACCAGTTTCAAATTGATTCTAAAATGTATGGGGAATTCAGTGATGCATTTTTCGAAGCTGAATATGAAATATACGCGATGTAATAGGCGCCTCAATACCGCCTTCGCTAAACGTGATTTTGTAAACACTATCCAATATGGCGGAAAGCGCCCCACGGTGTTCGTGGTAAGTGCATTTTCGAAAACATCCCAACCGATTCTAGATTCATCGGCAACGCTTCAGAATTATAATTAGCTTAAATCATGTAAAACTGATATCAGTGATCATAAATATGTTATTTTTGAAATTCAATACTCACAGTAATTATCCGATTTTCACATTGCAAAACATACAGCAAATAACGCTGTGAATCGCGATTTCATACTGTGTCAAAAAATGTCGCCATTTTCGATGAAGCCTATTTTGTAAGGTCATTTTCAGCACTTGAGCTTTGTTTAAAATAATAGTGGATGGTATCAAGAAACAGGGAATTTCCCGAGAATTCAAAACTGTGAAGTGTATTTGTGTGCGTGGGATATTTTGATTTTATTCGACTTCAAATTGAGGGTTGAAGGGAAGGACATATATGTCCCTGTGGCATCCAGGGGTTAACGCCAAGACTCGGCAATATTCCAGCTACATGGTGGCAGTCTGTATATAATCGAGTCTGGACCAGACAATCCAGTGAACAACGTCATGAGCATTGATCTACGCAATTGGGAACCGATGACATGTGTCCACCAAGTCAGCGAGCCTCACCTCCCGATCCAATTAGTCGCCTCTTACGACAAGCAGGGGTTAATTAAGACCAATTCTAACCTGGATCTTCTAGATATGCAGTTAAAAGGCACATTGCTATATTTTATATCATATATTTCTATTTTAATGATTACATTTTATATTACAATGCTGTGAATATTTTGGCCACAAAATGTGATGTATGTAAATATTACTGAAATAATACAGCATGAATGATATAGTTGCAGATCAGTTTAAAATGATCTTCCTTCCTCGAATCAAACACACTAAAGACTGATAGTCCTGTATTCAAATCTACTCAATCCAATCTTCCACAAAACTACAAGTCAGCAGAAGATATCCCTCAAGTACAAAGCAGTCTATCTTCAGATGATGTTATCCAACAAATTACCGAGGAAACATTTCTACTGTAATCTAGAAATCACTGCCATCAAATGACAGACATTTTACAGCTTTATTCTGTTCATGAAAGATAACGCTGAAATAACTACAAAGGTAGCCCTTGTCTCTCGTCAAAGTCTATCTCAATATCTTATGGCAGCAACTCAAGGCAATTCTATGGCCATGCAAACTTGCTAGCCTTCTACATTTGTGACAAGGCCAGATGTTACTGGAGATTTACATGCTTTTATACCTTGAGGGACATTAATGCTCCTACTTTGTGGTCACGGAGGGGTCAGGAGTCCAAGTGGACAGATATTTTGTTTGAAAAATAACAAATGTCAGGGGCTTGAGAGATACAAATGTTCTAGATTTCAAGTCATTAGTACTAGGGGGACCACACAACAGCAATTGTTTGAACATAGAAAACGTGGACATATACTTAGTGTCACTGTGTGTTGCTGTAACCTTAGTGTGAGTATGTGTGTGTGTACGTGAGAGGGAGAGAGAGAGAGAGAGAGAGAGAGAGAGAGAGAGAGAGAGAGAGAGAGAGAGAGAGAGAGAGAGAGAGAGAGAGAGAGAGAGAGAGAGAGAGAGAGAGAGAGAGAGAGAGAGAGAGAGAGAGAAAGAAAGAGAGAGAGTGAGTGATCGGGTGAGTGATCGGATGAAAGCGAGTGAGTTTATTTTACGCCACTTTTACCATTATTCCAGCAACATGTGTGTGCATACACATGTGCAAGTGTGCATGTGTGAGTATGTGTAAGAGAGCATACATTTTTGTTGAATTTTCTTAATCTAAGTTCAATTCAACTTCTTGAAAAAAAAATAAAAAAAATTGTACAATAATAATAAGTGTCTCACAATGATGTTTAACAATTGAACAAGACAGTAATTGACTATAATAATGACACAAATCAAGCTAATAAACCTTTTTAATGAAAATGTTGCTAAGGAAACTTACAACAAATTACAACAACAAAACTACCCAACTATGGTAACAACAGAGAAAATTATATTCCCTTTTGAACAACATTCAGTAAAATAACATAAATACTGTAAACAACATCCAAACAATTCTCGTTACCTTTTACAAACTTCACTGTTTGATCTGTAAACAACATTGATATATGATACTATTTGTAGAAATAACAATTATAATAAAATTATATCAGGTGAAACGCAGGGATCAGTATAAGGAATCTGATATAGCTGACACCTGGACTAAGTTGACATCACAAGTTGTGCCAGACTAAACGAAGTTGCACGTATAGCAGAGCCCATTAACTGTGGATGTTTACACAGTGATAATCAGTGTTGTCAATATTCTGAAATTTTCAGTTCATTAACAAGACTAGTTTTATTGAATCAGTTATACCGTGTATATATTCTATATATTCTTTTGGTTTCTTATCATTCTTAATGATTGTCCTTAAAGATTACTTTAATGACGTCAAAAGAAAATGTTAAATTACACATCACACTGGAAATAATAATGTAGCATGATAAATAATATATACTGGTATTGTGTAAGGTATGCAAAGATTGATGTTGTATAGAACACTCAGTCTTTCGTAAGTCAGTCACAAATTTGTAAAATCTTCACACACACAGGCTGCATGTAGAGATGAATAATTGGTTGCACTTTCAATATGAGGTTGCACCAGTGCATGTTTTATGGTGAAATCCAGTCTTGGTACATTACACACAAAGTTTAAAGATATATTTCAATGACTGAAGAAATTCACAAATAAGTAATTCAATCAAAATATGAGAACTTTTCGTTGACAACCAGGAAAATATTGATCTGTCCCTTTAGTTACAAAGGGACTTAATTTAATAATTTATGAAAAATACATAACATATGATATGTCATATTCTTCAACATTTATAGTGACTGTCTTACATGGCCAAACCCAATAGGCCTAAGATTATTAATGACCAATCATGGATTCAAACCAATGCGCCTACTGGGGTGTAAAGTTGCTTCACTTTGTGTCCAGAATAAAGCTGAAAGTAACACAGAACTCTGGATTCAAACCCATGATCAGAAAATAATGGCAACTGTGCACCTTGGGTGATACCTCAATCTAAACCCACAAATAAAGAACAACAAAGAATGAAGCAAAGAACCAACCTGACATTCTTGAAGATTCAGTATGGAGCGTATTTTTCCCCCGATCCGTCCGGCTCATTCCAGGTTTCTTGGACTGTCCAGACTGCTTGCTGTCACTGCGTCGAGTTGTCGCGACACCTGTAGTCCGATTCGTGTCCTCATCCTCAACTATTTCCGGCAAACCCGACTTAGGCACTTTCTTCTTTAACCTGTCTTGTTTTTCAGCCCGGGTGGACCTCCCGTCATCGTCAGTACCTTGTTTATCATCATCACTCGGGATTTCGGTAACTTTTCGATTGTACATCTCCCTGTGCTACCACTGTCTGCCATTCCCGAGGAATGTGTATCACATCTGCTGTGAGATCCTTATAATTGAGCATTAACTGATATTCCAAACTCTTTGGAATATACTCTCCCAGATTTTCGTAATTGTATATAATTCTACCTAACTGGTAGAGAATAGTTAAGGCAGACCTCCTTGCCTCCTCAAAGAGATATCTCTGTGAGTCTTCATCATTGGACAGAGTGGTGTCCAGATGGTTTTTGACGTGCTGAAATGCTTGGTTAATCTCTGGCATAAGACTTTTCTTCCCGAGCCCATCTCCGAACAAGTCTTCTTCCTGCTTTTGCTTCTCCTTGCTGGCCAAGTAGGCAGCAACTCGAGGATTCAGATGGGCAAATTTTAAACTGTCTGGTAATTCCTCTGGAAGTTTCCGGAATCGTTTTGTGGGATAATTGAACCCAGCTTGTTGGAAAAAGAACGGTTCCTCCATCCTGGGAATAGTCACAGACCTCTGTTAGATAGGTACCTTTATGTCATCACCATATTCTCTGCCCATCAGCACCTCCTGAAAAAACAAACAAATATTCACCAGTAACCCATCACCACCGCTTAATAAAATGCATCGGAAACCGTCAGAACCGCTAAGGGTCTTGTGTTGTTGCCAACATGAGTTGAGGCGGTTACAATGTGATTATAGAATATTGATCAGTATTGTTTACATTGTACCGACCTGGCCCAATGACTGGGTGATGAATATGCACAACCCCTGATGAATATGCATGAGTCATATACATTATGTTGGCAACTAGCTGGATTAGTGAGGGGGTTACACCCACAGCTAATGGACATGCCAATCATTCCATGTCTTGGATCATTGTACTGGAGATTAACATAATAGGATTTCCATATACACTGCACCCACATGCCCCAAATAAGACTATGGAACAACATATTTTGAAATGAATGTAAGGTGAGGAGGAGGTGATGATGAATTTTATTTTTGGGGGTCCCATTTTCTTCTAGGAAGGTAGCAGGTTGACAATTTTGTACACATGTACTAGGGAGTTGTGGGGTGTGTCAGCAATTTTGTACATAAAAATACTAAATAAATATCCTTAAAAATTACAGGAAGGGGAGGGAGATAATTGATTTTGTACATGACATGCTGTGGGGGGTCACTTACTTTGTACATAAATTTTAGGGGGGGTCATTCATTTTGGATATGCTTCTCCATAAAAATCATCATCACCCCATCTAGCCATAAATTATGAACGGTCCCTAAAATAATTAGCTTTTTATACTCACCTGTACCAAACACCCTGTGTCACATTATTTCATTTTCCTAACGTACCTAAAATATTTTAAACTATATGCCTGTTTTCTTCTCAATTTATCTAACACCATATGCATAGTCCTACCTATATATATTTTCCCTGTAAATCAGGTGCCTCGAACAGTCTAATTTAGAAACTAGATTAAGAAAAATAAGATGAATCACATCCTTGAACAGTTTGAATGAAAATGTGGTAAATAATTTCTTCAGGCTTCGCATTGATGAATTCTGTTAAATGCTGTTTTTCTGTCACTAAAAGCCTTTCTTTCATAGGTCTTGCCTATTATGGTTTATTTCTCTTCATTCAGTATCTATTAAACACAGCTAATATAACCTATCAAAATTATGATCAGAAACCTACCAACAGGCAGCCTGACTTATGTGTCTTGGAAAATGTAACAATATTTAAATTTTGTTTGTTTGTTGTATAATGCTGCACTCAGCAAATTTCCTGGGATATGGCGGCGGTCTGTAAATAATCGAGTCTGGACCAGACAATCCAGTGATCATCAGCATGAGCATCGATCTACACAATTGGGATACGATGACATGTGTCAACTAAGTCAGTGAGCCTGACCACCTGATCCTGTTAGTTGCATCTTATGGCAAGCATGGGTTACTGAAGACTAGGGGTGGGTACTGCACAGAATTTTCATATTGCAATATCTTGCGATGCGAAAAGCATGTATTGTGATATGTATTGCAATATATTGCCTGAAGTATTTTTAAACAAAATACTACTTATAAGCAAGTTAATGCTTGATTTATAGAGCAAAAACACAACAAAATCACTATGCTTGATTAAGCTTTAATAACAACTTTTAATCATGATAAAATAAAAATGTGAAGAATATTTGGCACAAACGAAACAAGGAAATATCCGAAGATTTCCGAGAGTGTTGCGAAGTTTTCGGTTTTCAACCAACGTATCGCAATACATATCGTTTTCATGTCTGAACCAGAAAATACTGGTAAACCGGTTATATTGAGCAGCCCTACTGAAGACCAATTCTAAACTTGTTCTTCATGGGTCATATTTTAAATAAATGTTATGATTAATTAATGTAAGGTCACTGTGTAATTTGACAGTAAGCCCTCTCGGTGCCAGATAGTAATTATCATGTTACTAGCTGATGTCAGTAAATACAACAATTCCACTGTCAACACGTCAGTCAAGCCTTGCCCGTGTTTAGATGACTGATATCTTCATCCTCTTACTATGATCTGTCATTAATACTAGTACTCAACTGACCAAAGAGCACTTAATCATTGGCAGAATGACCCGTAATAGAATTATGTTTAGATTTATGAATGATAATTCTGTGAATGATAAATTCTTGAGGTAGGCCACTTTTAGAAGCATTTATTGATCATTTCAGTTTAATCACTGGATGTCAGCTTAATGTGGGAGTAAAGTGGAGGTTGTAGTGTTTGTACACTTTAGTAAAACTCAAGTTTAGGAGAGGTGACGATGTTGGGTGATTATGTATGATGATGGGATGATTATTGCAGTTATACAGCACTGTCTATGGTGAGTGCATCAGTGTTGTGTGTTTTTGTTTGGGTTTGTATGATGGTTTGATTTTGCAGTTATACAGCACTGTCTATGGCGTGTGTGGGTGTGTGTGTTTTGTGTGGGGTGTGTGTGTGTGTGTGTGTGCATGCATGCACACACTACAACATTCCACTCTCTATCATTTCAGTCTGTATCAGGTGACATTTATACCACATTTTCACTGTACCCAAGGTGACAGATGCATGGAGTTATGATAATCATGATTATTCAGTGTATTAAATCTCCACTGATTAGATTTGCTGCATTTGGTACCACATAACCATTGTTTCAGTTTGGAAGTAATGTTACAATTTTGTTCAGTAATATCAACTTGAAAGTTTTCATGTATGAATGTAATGTGACTGTGCTGTAAAATTTAATGTGTTGTCATTCAAACTTTGTCTCAAGACGATGCTATAACACTTGAAGGGTCAAGGATATAGATCTATTACAACAGAATGGAGACAAAGCAATATTAGCCATTGTAGATGCAGGAGCTTTGGTAGCTCTGAAAGTTTATTTCACGTCAACTACTAAGAGATCAAGAAACAAACAGTTCAAACACTGATAGGGCGAAGAAATTCTAAGAATAATGTTCAGTTAAAAATACACAATGTACATGAATATGTTGAAAATATTACATTCATGCTTTTTTATATGCTAAATAGCTGTGTGGTAGATAACTGCGGATTACTATAACTAAAAATGTCAGAAAGAATTCTGTGTAAGGAAAATTTGTCAAAATTCAACTTTTCAATAAGATAATCACATAATTTTACGAGAAAAAGGATAAACCTGCATGTAAATATTGCATTCTGGACATGATAAAGCTATAACTCAATTCTTCAAACTACGGGACAGCTGCTTTTCATATTTCCAATACCGAGTCTAGGATTGTAGGCCTAATGTGTTTACTGGTGTTTGCGACGGGTGTCCGACTTGGGACAAGCTAAAGTTATCAGCGTTCACTGTTGTTTGTCACTGGACATTTTCAATCTCAGGCCGTAATTATCATTAAAATACATCGACATTATCTTACCCGTCATGAATAGGATGACAGTGGCGTAATACCCATCCATTAACTAGTTTCTATCCATCCGGTGCGAGAACCTGCTCCGTAGGCCGCCATCTTGTTTGCTTGTTGACAACGCCATTGAGGGTTGCCCTGTCACCTAGCAACAGGACGCCACGGGTTGAAGTGCTCGTTCGGCTCTAATCTCAGCGACACTTTACAATCAGAAGGGTCTCGGAAGTATCACCAATACATTTAAATCTCGGAATCGAGACGTAATCTTGTCGGTATCCATTATCAATTATTTGCCACTGTGAAATCTGCTTGAGATAGTGAATTACTTACACTATGAAAGATCCCAGAGACCCGACAATGACGGTTTGGGATAAGTCGGGTCGTCGGGTCAAGTAGCAGAAGAACGTTTCTCCACTGTGAGAGATTTAGAGCTCTTTAAAAATCTGATTGATAAGTTATTTTGAAATAGATATTGTAAACCAGTGTTATGTTATCTAGGTATATCTTACAACACATCAAAAAGGTTTTTGGATAGACATGCACAATAGTAGGCTACAGTAGACCCTAAAAATGAAAACATTTAACAGAAATAACGGTTCTTAAATTATGTTAATAAAATATAAATCTAATATTTTTTTTTTATAAGTTTATTCATTTTCAAACTGGGGTAATCTAGACTGGCCACATATTCTAGACTTGCATGGGCTGTATTGGGTATATTTGTTTCAGGGTCTGTTTGGCAGACTATTTTTCGGACAGCAAACGTTTTCGATCGCAGTCACTCGGGCTGTAACAAGGGGTGTTACGTCACAGCGACAGTGTAAAATCTTGAATGATAAAGGTATCTTTTATAAGTTAGTGACATGTTTTACAAATGTTCATGCGATATTCGAGACAACAACGATTGTTTCTAAGTGACAAAACCCCATAACACGACGGTATTTTTAAAATATTCAGTTAGCGCGTACTGCGTACAGAATTAATTCAAACTTGTGTGTAATTATGACGGGATTACACGCATTGGCAGGTAGGAAGAATAGTATTACTAAAATACATATGCTGTCCCATATTCAGTGCGGGTATATTCTTCATAATTCACTATAGGTTTGAGGTAATAAGCCCCAGTTATCGTCGGGTCCCGGTTTTCTGACGTCAGATATTTTCGAACGCCAGTATTTACTCTCGGTATAACGAGGCAGGTCGCATTGTATGAAAACGAATTTATCTTGGATTTGAACAATTTTGTTCCTCGTGCACAATTCAGATGGTATACAGACATGGACAGAAACAATTGTTTATAGAAACTGGTCATTGTACTGTGCTTTAATTCTTAATTCATTAGAGAATTTGATATATTTAGATAATTTTAACAAAGGAGATTTATTTGAATGTTTAACCAATGACACAAGTTTGAATACACCAGGTCTAACCCAATAAAACTGTTTAATATATAACGTTCTAAACTGTAAATACTTTGGGCAAATTAACATAAGCTGATTCTCATTTTCAATGAAAATATTTCCTTGGCTGTTACAATATGCACATAAACGCCGTCTCCCCTCGGAATATTATTGTATCTTGTTATCATGAGGCGAGGGGTATTACGGTCGTATTTGCATCATAATTTTCTATCCCTGAAATTTCTAACCTGATCAAGATACGTTTTGTAACAAAAAATACTTTAATTATTTTGTGTAAAAATAATTTGCCATTCAACCCTAAATCAGATCTCCATTTTTGAATATAAATATCAATAACATGTTGCTTTGCATCTTTACAAAACATATCAACATTTACAGCAGGAAATTCCCAAACGTGTCCAAAAACCAAGTTCATAAGCATATTTTTAACACCATTGAACCAAGATTTATAACCATGATTTAAACCAGTTGAACATAAACCATACATAACCCGCAGTATACTGCTCTCACTGCGTAATAACTTAGACCAACAACGTAACACACGATAGACGAATTAATATATAAAGGGTACCTCCCAAGTTCACCATGCAGCAACTGTTAAGATTTGCCATTGATTTGCAAAATTTTAAGTGAATTCTTTTAAGTTCAGTACATATTGTGATTCTCTACAATTCACAACCATGCATCATGGTAGAATTTACAAATGTATCAAACAGTTCACAGGGCGGTGGGGCAGTCTAGTGGTAAAGCGTTCGCACGTCATGCCAAAGATCGGGTTCGATTCCCCACGTGGGTACAATGTGTGAAGCCCATTTCTGGTGTCCCCCGTTGTGATATTGCTGGAATATAGCTGAAAACGGCGTATACGGCGTAAGACCCAACAAACTCACTCACTCAAACAGTTCACACAAAATTTCAATGATAAATCGTAATTGCTCACATTTTTAAGCAAAACATTCATGGCTTTAAGACATTTGTCTGCTCGATTCTTATATGCTTGTGTAAAAGAACCGATGTATGTCAAGACAGTACCTAAATAGTTAAACTGGTCCACAACTTCAAATTGGGAATCGCTGAAGAACCGTTTCTCCTTCGCTCGAATCTTCCCTCCTTTACGAAAAATCATAATTTTTGTTTGTTTGTTTTTTTAACTACATTCCGAACACAGTTGGATAGTGTGTTGAGGAGAGACGGGTGCAAACCATATCATAGGCACATAGTACACGAAAAAGTTACTTTATAGTATAGCAACAATCCCGCATCGATATTCTCCTCCAATGCCGGGGCGGTGGAATAGCCTAATGGTTAAAACGTTGGCTCGTCACGCCGAAGACCCGGGTTCGAATCCCCACATGAGCACAATGTGTGAAGCCCATTTCTGGTGACCCCGCCGTGATGTTGCTGGAATATTGCTAAAAGCGGCGTAAAACCAAACTCAGTCAGTCTAAAAGCGGCGTAAAACCAAACTCAGTCAGTCAGTCAGCCAGTCCTGCAATGCCACGTCAAGATCTTCAAGAAATAGGGAGAAGAGAATCGGTGACATTACCTCCCCTTGTTTAATACCCAGAGAGCAGAGAAAGGAGTCAGATATCTGACTATTGTGTTTCACGCATGAATTCACAGTATCATATATAGACAATAACTTTCCAAAGTCTATATATGATGCGCATGTTATGTCACTTGAAGAATAAACTGTCACGATTACCAGAGTCAAACGCTTTTTAAAACGACCTATAGTCGACAACGCAACAACTTCTATTTTTCCTGGGTATATCTAGAAATGAGGTTTTGTATTACAAATATATCATCCACAGCTAACCAACTAGTGGGCTTTGAAGGCAAACTGAGCACACGAGATGGTGTTGTAATTTTCTGGACCATGGAACAAGTCATGATGAAAATACAGAGGTAAAGAGTTTAGAAAACCAAATGATTATGGTGATTCCTCTATAATTACTTTGATCGTGTTTAGAACCTTTTTTATGAATAGGAGTGATAAGTCCGGCACACAACGAAGATGGAAACTTGTCTTCTCTTAGTATCTTTTGAAGAGAATAAGTATGCTTACCACCAACAGGCCACTTGCTTCTTTAAGTATTCATGTAGTATATTGTTGAAGGTGATTTATCATTTTCAGCTACTTCTTTACTGCTGTAAGGACTTCCTCCCGTGACCCAGTTCATCAAACACAGCTTTACTGGTCAAATTCGTGTTTTCCGAATTACCTTTTACGGACGATTCGTTTGACCCCTCATTTGCCAGTTGTTAAAGTATACCCTGAAATCCTCTGCATTATATTTTCTCCTTTTGCTGTTTGAGTTTTCGAAAATGCCTCCAAAAGCTTTTGTTTTTTGTTTTCAGATTCTCTACTTTTATACTTTCATCGAAGTTATACCTTCTTTTACATGCTCGTATACTTTTCATGTAAAGTCTCTTCTTGTCTTACGGATGACAGCTTGCTTTTCCAGGTTTCCGACCCCCAGTGGTCACTCGGGCTGCAACGAAGGTATTGCGTTACATTGTAAAATCTTAAATAATGGCTTATGATTGGGATAAAATTATTTTTTATTAGTTAATAGTGGCATGTTGTTCGTGCCTGAATGCGATGATCGAGACAACAGCGGATGTCCAAAAACCCATAACACGATGCCCCGTGAAGATCCGGGTCTTCAGCAGCCCATGCTGGTCGCACGAAGAAACTAACGGGATCCGGTGATCAGCTGGTTGACACCATTTCATCGTATCCCAATTGCGCAGATCGATGCTAATGCTGATGATCACTTGGTTGTCTGGTCCAGACGCGAATATCTACAGACTGCCGCCATATTGCTGAGTGCGGCATTAAAAATTCTAAAACCAAAAACCAAAAACCTTTCCAATTTCCAGTGTCTATGTATATATACGAGGCACAACACTTTATAACGCGAGTAAACACTGCCGTTCGAAAATCTTTAATGTCCAAAATCTGAGCGAAAATGGTGATGCAGAATCTAACCGCGAAAAGACATTAGAACATATAGTTGACATCACACATCTAGGTTTATAAGCTTTAGCACGGGACTCAAACTTTACCCTCAGTTTTAAATCCAAGTCGTGCTACAATCGCTTCTTGAAACGGGTCCCAGTTCAACCTGCCTTTCAGCAAACGCATGCAAAAGCAAACATGATTTGTTTTTCATGCAATCAAGTGTAATGAAACACAAATGGTGGCCTTATTTTGTCATAGTACGTGAATATTTTACTTCTTCACTAGTGATTCCTCATGGGTATAGACTACAGCTGTTTTCAAAACATGGTATCCATGGCGGGTCTTTCCTCATCATTGCCGTTGACTGCATTCAATAACCTGTAACACTGTTTACATGACTTTTGAACACTTTGTTTTGCTTCTTGAATACTATTTTGATCCCGGTTAGAATTGGACTTTAGCAACCCATGCTTGTAGTAAGAGGTGACTGGCGGGATCAGGTGGTCAGGCTCGCTGTCTTGGTTGACACATGTCATGGTATCCAATTTCGTAGATCGATGTTCATGCTGTTGATCACTGGGTAATGACAGGATTGCCTGGTCCGGACTTGATTCTTTACAGTGCGCCGCCATATAGCTGCAATATTGCTGGGTGCGGCATTAAACAACATACCAACAAACTATGTTGAGTGAGATTTC